TTAATCCCCGGCTTAGAACACGTAAAACTAGGACTAAGCTCAGGAGAGGGGAGGAACAACGTGGACGACGAAAGTTGTTCATATCCTCCCCTAAAATCCCTTCCTTCATTGTCCACCCCCCCCCCCTCTAACGACATTAGATCGACACGATCGAATATTCGTGAAGGTTCATAGAATTAAATATCACCGCGAATATTATCATACTTTATCGAAGGGGACGGACTCAACGAATTCATTGAGTCCCTCTCTTTTGATAAAATCAAAAGCTCCTAAAATAATAGTGTGTTCCAGAAACAACTTTTCAATCAGCATAATAGTGAGGGAGCTTTAGGTGTGTAAACCAGATAATTTATTTAATCAAATTATCCTTCAGAATCAAAAATTTAATTTCAATAATTTCATTGTGAATAAGCGTGACTCTTATTGTGGCACAGCTCATAATTGAGGAAACAAAACAATATGTAAACAACGAGCACTGCACAGTTATTCGTAGTATGTGATAGTTACATTGCAATGTCAAAGAAGTTTAGAAACTCATGGAATTACCCGGAACTTGAAATAGCTCATTATTTCCTTGCAATAAGAAGTAACCGCGAGACATAAAGGCCCAATTTGATGCCACTCACCTTCGAACAGCCAGCAGTTCGTTCTGTTTCGAAACAGCTATCTTTCTGCTGACCTCGAGATTGACCCTGTTCCTAAAATGGGTGGAGATGAGTTCTGAAAGCTATCTACGAAACTAACAGTGCTTATCGTTTTACTTCTGTGCAACAGTTTCCAGCTCGATTCGTCTCTGCCGTTCCTCACGGAGTTCCGCTTTCAATGACTGAACTTCCTCGTCCGTGGAAACTTGGATCCTTCTGATTTCGGACAACAGTTCCTGCACTCGAGCGTCACTCTCGAGCAATTCCTTCTCTCTTGACTGCCCATAATTTCTGTGCCATGTCCTCGCAGTCGTTTCTGAAATAGAAGCAGCGTAGGACTATCAGATACCTCAGTTTGAAGTTAAAGCTACGTCTGAACTAAAACATCTGCTTACTTTGCAGTGTTCTCTATGAGGAGTCCGATTTGATCGCTGAATTCCCTTCTCAGCTCTTCTTCCTTGAATTTCGATTTTCTCGTGACTTCTTCCACAGGTAGCTTTCAGTTCTTGTTGCTGCTCTCGTAGCTGCTGGTTTTCAGCCTTCAACGCCTCACCCATTTGATAAAGAAGTTCTACATGTTGTCCTCGTTCGTTGAGCAACTGAAAATGCTGATGTTCACAGAAAAGGGGTACGGTCGCGGTTCTAGATTGCTGTTCAGAGTAATCGACAGTCACGATGTACGTACATGCCAAACCTCGTTTTGAAGCAGTTAAAGAACTCAATGGAATACCTGCTGAGAATTTCCATCAGCATTTCTTAAACTTGGCTTTCGTCTGCCCAGGCTTACTTATTCTGTTTATTACATCACATTTTACCCAATACATGCATATGGCTTATTTATTATTTTTCCATTCCAGTACTTTACTTATTTTCTAATTACTGCCAATATTTACGTGATTGTAGGCAGCCTCCACGATCCTTTAGGTGCGATTACTGTGGCAGCTGCCTCCGCTAGTGATTTTATAGGCTGAGGCGCAAATGAAGCCACTAACTCTTCGAAGTCTGTATTTATTTATTTATTTATTTATTTATTTATTTATTTATTATTTATTTATTTATTTATTTATTTATTTATTTATTTATTTATTTATTTATTTATTTATTTATTTATTTATTTATTTATTTATTTATTTATTTATTATATTATTTATCTATTAGAAGAGAAGTTGTGGTTCTTCGGGAATGTATTCAGAAATCCGTGGGAATAGAGAACAAAACAAAAAGAAATAACGACAGTTCCCAACACGGCGAGATTTTTGTTATGTGATTCGAATGCGTGGCGCATCTCACAAACGGAGACTGCTGCCTTTTTTTATAAGAAACTGAAGCATACCGTCTGCAATTCTGTTTGAGCGTGTTGAGACTGCTGGGAGAGTTCAATGAACTTCTTCTTAAGATCCATGTAGTTCTGCTGAGTTTGCAGGACCAGGGCTCGCTCTTCTGGAAGTTAAAGAATATTATGATTTTCGTGTGTCCTCAAGCCACCAGCACTACACAAGAGCAAACCTCTAGAGCATCATTGAGTTCTTCAAGTTGCAGGTACTGCGTAGACTCAAGAGATTCCTTCACAGGAGGTTTAGGAGACTCCATGATATATCACAGAATAGTTAAGTTGGAAAATCCAGCAAAATTGAATAAAACGGCGGACCAAAATCAAATTGAGAACCTAAGGTGTGGAAGGTGCAGTAGGGTAGATCCCATCCGTAATGACTATGTAGGCTTCATCGGAAAACGAGCAGGTGCAGGGGATCGATAAGCGGCTGGCACAACCCTATAAAGGTGAGGGAAGCAGGTAAGCCCTGAATCGCTGAGGCCCTCCCATTGAACAGCAGGAGACTAGAGTGGATCTGCTGTTTCGACTCCTTTTGCGTAAAGCTCGGCATAACTAATCATCGTATTTTTTATGAACTGAGGTGAAATTATTGTTTCAAAACCAAAAATCCAAAACTCACATTTCGGTCTTTCTTGTGCCGTAGACCTTTATAAGAAAAAGAGAAACTTTACTAGCCACAACTGACAGCGCCGCTGTTTCGCTCCTACGGTGGTGAACTAAGTCTTTGAGAAACAACCCCGTCGTAGCGTCGGGCTTCTGGATAAAGTTTTTATCTGAAAACCTATACGGTCCAAAAATGATCAAAATAGACATCAATGCCGAGCTTCTATGGAGAGAAATGGGGTCTCATCCAGTAAGGGGGCATGTGGTGCGACAGTTCATATTGCATGAAGAAATCCACTTTTTTCAGGGAAGCTCCGGGGTGGGTGTAAAAGTTTAAGCGAATGGTTCACGCACCCCGGGGATTCCCTCCCCTTGCAAAAATTGGAATTTCTGTAGCCGATAAGAACTGTCACACCACATGCCTCCCCCGTTACTGGATGAGACCCGAGAAAAGTTGGACTTCACACGACAACGGACTCAAGGTTTTCATTTTGAAGGTTGATGGTCAACGCATGCATAACAGGTATCAGCTGCTGAAAAGGCAAAGATGGAGCAGTGGTTTCCCTTTACATACACAGTTCATAGATATGAAGCAATTCCCGTTCCAGGATCCGCCACGCTCGTAATACTGGAAAAAGCTTTATCCTAGTTGACAGAAACCAAAGGGGTCTCATCCAGTAAGGGGGGCATCAAGTGGCTGCCCTCACCCCCACCCCCTAGACTGCCTACACTCCCCCTGGCGCACAGGTTTCTCGAAGTACGGGACCCCGTGAGCCAGGGGGAGTGAAGCCAGTTCAGGGGGTGGGGGTGAGGGCAGCCATTAGACGTTGCATCACAATGCCCCCCTTACTGGATGAGACGCCCCACATGTTTAAAACAAAGTATAGTTCGATATTTTTGATTCCTAAAGATATGTCTGATACCATCCAAGCAATTCCAAGGTAAAGGATTTGACTCACATTGAGTGCGTTTGGTATTCCTAATGAACGTCATGTGCTCAATAGTCCCTCTGGACTATCATTTTCGGGTCTATTCTAGTTAGGAGGAGGGGGTATCATGATGCAGCTTCATCACATGTCAAGTGACTGCCCTCACCCCCCCCCTAGACTGGCTACACTCCCCTGGCTCGGAGTTACCCTAGCTCTCTGGAAAACCTGCACCATGATGCCCCCAACTGGAATAGACCCACTTTCCCTATCAATACTTGTCCTACGAGTCGAATACACTTAACAGCAACATATTTGATCCAGGCGTCGCTCGCAACTGTTAATGCCGTTTTAACGAACTGACAGCCGTCTCAGAAATTCGCTACACAGAGAACGCCATAGTTGACGTCTAGCTATGTTCTTCGTGATTTCTCTCTTGGTCCACTTGATTATCTCGAAAAAATTTTCACTTCTGTTTCGAAGCCTTTTTTGCAGAAGTAGTAGGTCTAAACCGTCTAGATTTTCACTAAACACTGGCCAACGAAGTCCGATCAGATTGGCTCCTCACTTCGGGTGTTGTAACTTATTTTTCTTCCAATTTAGAGTGGGGCTATGATCTGGTTTTTTGGATTACTATTGCTGTTATTTTCAATGTATTAAACGGGGTCTGCCTCATAAAACTAAATATGCCCGGAGTTCCTTCAGAGGGAAAAGTTCCGCACTGCGAAAAGCGAAGAATTCGCTTTCTGTTCTAGCGAAACACACCCTGAACGCTTTCTTGTAGTGTTGATTGTTTTTTTTTTCAATACTTCATTTATGTATTTTCGTTTAGGTGCCACAATGGCAGCGCTTGGTACCCGAATGGACAGGAAAAAGAAAATGAAAGGAAAGAAAAAGGTGAAAAATCTATTGGAGAAGAAGGCTAAAGGCTTGAAGTTGAATCAAGTCGACAGGAGACGACTGTTGAAGGTAAGCGTTCTAACTATTTTTTGCTCTTAGAAGAACGTGTTTCGGTACTTTCAATCTATTTTTTACGAATACCAATACTTTTCAAGAGCTTGTTGTTTCTTTCAGCTTGAGGAGAAGATGAAGTTTAAAAGTGAACTTAACGAAAGTGTGAAGGCTGAAATGAGCAAGCTACGACTATCAGAAAAAGAAGACGTGGACGACACCATTAATGTTGACCCTTCATCACCGAGTGCACCCTCAAAAAAGCCAAAGGATAAAAGGGTACTTGGTATAGTTGTTGGAAATCGTGGGAATAAACATACCCACTAAGTGTTATTCGTTAAGGTATCATTCAGCGGAAATATGGAACGGGTCAAGGTGTTCGATAAGAACGTGAAAGATCTTGAAATCAAACCGTCATCAGCGTCTCCAGGGAAGGGCATACTGCGAGTCAAGCCGAAAAAAGCCGCGCTCAAAAAGAAGAAGAAGGTGAAATCCAAGTCTGATCGTCTATTTATAGTATTTTTAAGTGTTGCATTACAATGGTTCAGGTGAAAGTTCCCGAGAATGGCGAAACTCCTATAGCTACTGCAGCAACAGTTGATCACAATGAAGAGAAAGAAAATGTTCAAGAAAATACTAGTGCTGCAAAGAACACTTTCAAACCTAAGAAGAAGATTACGATACAGGTATAGTAAAACTATATGATTTTTGCTGACTCCTAGAATAACCCTTTTAAGGTAACAAAGAAAGTAAAAGAACAGTTGCTTACTATGGATAGGAAGCAAAGAAAGGCGTTTCTCAGAGAACTCAAGGTGAGCTCATAGTCGTACTGAATATTCATATTTAGGATAATTTTTTCAGTCTCAAAAAAATCCTAACCATGATCGTGCAATGGAGTGCAAGTTGTTGTGGGAGAAAATCAGAAGGTTCGTAAGTTTATGCAATGTCTTTCTGCTTAATTATTATTGGTTCGAGTCTTCTATAACTGCGGAAGTTATTTTATGAAGTAATCTTTCAGTAGAAAGACTCTTAAGCAGGAGAGGGATGAATGTGTATCGAAGCTTTTTGGACCTTGTAAAGGTAACGATTTTCACTTTCCTTTCATTTTTTTATCCTTTTTCGAAAGACATTGTTCAGGGTTACGCTCCAAAACTTATTTATACTCACGATATTTCTCGAGTTTTTGAATGCCTTCTGGCTTTGAAAAGGCCTGGTATTACATCAGCACGTAAGTCTTATACAATCTGTTATTAAATTTTCGTCTCTTGTTATTGAAAACTGTCTTTTTCAAGTTTTCGAAGAACTTACACCTGAACTCGTGAGAATGACTAAGAATAAGTACGCTCACTTCTTCGTGCTGCGCATGTTGAAATATGGGTATGTGAAGTTATAGTTTAATGATCCTCTTTTGGAAGTCCATATGCTATGTTTTAGAACCAAAGAGCAAAGGAATATGATCATTAGCTCATTCCGAGGTCATGCCGTGTCGCTCATGCGAATTGTATACGCAGCTGAAGTAAGTCACTAGTTACACAGCGAGTTTAGCAGGTTTTACTGCTGAAAACAACTGTGTACT